CTATAATGTATTCGTGAAATTATACCGATCTTTGAAAATCACTCAACTGTAAGTTTATGTCGCATAGAACAATAGAATTCTGCACGATGCCGTGACCAAATTCTGAGGAAAAAGGTGTGACGAAATTCTAAGAAATGTCATATCAGCAAATTCCCGGAAATTACGTAACTAGGGAAATTCCCAGAGTAGATATGGAATGGGGGTTCTGCACCACGGGTACCGTCGGGCTACCACGGGCCCGTAGGGGGAGGGGGTAGTCTGCATCATATCTATATTTAGCCAGGCCCAATTTTTTAGGAGGGGGAGAGTGCTCAGCCATATCTATTTCATAGTTTGCTGGATTGCACCATACCAACGCAATCGGGATGGCGTCATTTTTATTTTTGGGACTCTTCTACAGTGGGAAATTTCAAAGTGTTTTTCTATTTTCGCTTGATCTTCTGATCAGTGTGATTCAGTTGGATTCGCCTCAGTGCAACTGTCGCTGCGATATGCAAATAATGAATAAACGTCATGCATTATGAGAAATTTGATTATATTATATTTATTTCGATCTCGTATTTGTGTGAAATGTTTGACAATAAAATAGTTATAATCGAAATTTTCTAAGTCGCCCAAAATCGTAAATTAACATTGAATCTAACTCCGGTCTCCCGCGTGACAAATATTGACCATAAGTGTTTTTCACTCAAGTTTCTAGGGGGTGGTCGGCCATATCTATTTTTTGGTTTGCTGGATTGCACCATAGCAACCGGAGCGCTCCGGAGCATGCCTGAGCAAGAGGCTCCCCCCAGACCCTACTCCGGGCCTGTAATAACGGTGATGTCATAGCTATTCTAAAGTGAGGTGCTGGAGTCTTAATCGGGGTTGTTGAAAAGATATGACCTCAATGGGAATCGAACCCATAATGGATATTTGGTTGTGTAAGAACAAATTATTCAAATTTGCAAAAAAGATTTTACGTTCACCATTTTATATGGGAATGTTTCAATGGAATCATTGATGATGGAATGGTTATAGATCATAGTAAAGTGGACAACAGATTGTGTAATTTGAAATTAGTAAGGCAAAAGTATTATAGTAAGAAATCTGCTGTAAAAAGAGATTATTCATTTGTGACTGAAGTTTAATCTTTTAAAACTAGAATTTTTTAAAAAATAACGTTTACTTTTGCTTTTCCTTTCAGAAACAAATGCAACCGAAAAACAGTTTTCTGAAAACTTCAAAATGACTCCAGTCATTCTAATACTACTTTTAGCAACTGCTAAGAGTGGCTCTTTATTTGAACTAAATGGAAACGTAACAGGAACTAGGAACCTGACTAAGGTTGATTCACCCTACATGGTAACTTCAAACATTGTCGTCACAAAAGGCGCAACTTTGAATGTCGAGCCTGGCGTGGAAATCTACTTCTCTCCAGGAGTGGGACTAAAAGTTCACGGCACCCTTAAGGCCCAAGGAACGTCAACCAGTCGTATCACTTTAACAAATCTTCAGTCTAACGAGACTGTTGATTTAGACAAAATAAACGACACTATTCCTTACAACAAAGGTGGCAGGCTAATTGGAGGTGCTGATTACCGTACTGGACGGCTAGAGCTGCTCGTCGATAACCAATAGGGCAGCGTTTGTTATAATCGTTGGACCACCTCAAATACAGAAGTTGCTTGCAGAATGTTAGGGTTTGTGGGTGCGAAAAGATATTATTCTCTTCGTCATGGTGTTACAAAAACCAATATCTTCAGCGTCAACTGCAAAGGAACCGAGGGGAGTTTGCTTGATTGTCCTCATCAGCCAGGGTCCCAGATTAATTGTCGTAAGTAGCTTATTGCAATATGCAGGTAAAATTTTGAAAAAAAATTATTTCCCTAATTAGTTTTTCTTTGATTCGAGCGAGTGCAGTATTTGAGGTCCGTAATGTATTGGCGCTCAACTGACTGACAAATTGTTAAGGCCATGCATGCGACATGAATGGGTATCCTAGATTTCGATGGTGATTTTTCATACTGTCCTTTTTCTCAGGCCACTACAGTGATATTGGTATCAAGTGTTACACGCTTCTCCCTCTACTAGCCGAAAGAGTATACTGGAGTGGCATTGAGTACAAAGACACAGCAAGCCAAGTCCAGATGAGATAAGTTGACATTCACAAGGCTTTTATTGGTATTCATGGACATAAAGTCCTACCACCTCTTTACAATGTTACTCTAACATCATCCATCAGAGGAATCAAGTCAACGGAGCTGAAAGACGGCGAGTTCTTTATCCACGRCACAGTTATTAGCGACAGTATGGTAAACGGAATCGTTATATCTTCTAACAACGCGTCATTAAACATTAACAACAGCGTCGTGTTCAACACCACAAATGGAGATGGGATCGAGTACTCGAGAATAAGAAAATCATCGGTGGATTTATAAGATGTTCATCCAAGTAATGCGTCTTTTCCTCTTTACCTTACCGTATCTTCAAAATGGTGGGAAACTGAAGATACCATCAAGGTAATAGTGATGAAAAATAGAGTATCATAAACTGTTTGATCCCGATATGTTATGATCGTTTTCAAAAGTATCACGTGCAGACTCATAAACAAATAAATGTTAAAATATTGAAATCCTAGTACGATACTTAGGCTCTCCGGAATGAACTGTTCAAAAGGATCAGTAGATTTAGTGCTGTAGATTCAATTATACAGTTGCTGAGTAGTGAACTGACTACAGTAATTTTTACCAAAATTTTATCATTATGGTTGCCTAAATGTATGAACGTCGTACATGGTGTATTTATTTCTTAAAATACCTTTAGTAAGCAAACAAATTCTTTTGCCTAAAATTACCTTGCTATCATGCTCACCAACGATGCATTTTAAAAAAATGTCGCGATCCACAAACATTTTTTTGTTACTACTGCAGCCGCCGAATTATTTATGAGAAAACTATAATAGTTATTGGTTGTTTTCCAACCATCCTAAAAAAGAATAAAAACGAAACAAACTAAGGTCATAATTTTTTATTTAAAGGTCTTCAAAACGTCTACCGGCCATACTCTTGCCCTTCACTTTCAATTCTTAAAGGGCCAAGGATACTATATTGAGGCACGTGACGGTGACAATATTAATTCCACACTTCTAACACGGGTGACACAAAGTGATAGTGGACGAGCTGTAAAGCCTTCTTTCACGACAGGAAACGTGCTTTGGATAAGGTATCGTCAAACATATCAGTATGAAGCTGCGGCAGAGCTCCTTATTACTGAAAGTTCAGGTAATAATTAATGAAAAATTAAGAAATATGCTTGTATTGCTGTTCTGTGCTTCTGTTTTTTTCTTACTACTGGGTTATCCACTTTTCCCGCTCGTTTTGGTTCTTTCGGTAGACGCGTGTACCATATTTTGTAATTCAAAGTTTCCCGCTCTTTTCTTTACCATTAGCGAATGAATTCCCAAACGGATGGATTAGTTTAAATGATAAACAACTATGTTCTGAATGTTGATTTTGATTTTGACTTTTTTTTAATGCAGATAAAAGTTCATTGACTATTACTAACTCAAAATTCATTGGTAATAATGGTTTTGGCATGGCTTTGAAGGATATCCCCAATCAAATATACATAGAGAACACAGATTTTTCTCTTAACACCAAAGACGGAATGATGGCCAAAAACCAAACTGGGAAGGTTTCATGTTCTAGACTACGTTTCAGCAAAAATGGTGGAAATGGCGTTGCCTTCTACCATTCGAGTATTTCTATTTGCAATTTATCCGACATCAAGGCTTTTAATAATCAAGAGAAAGGAATGCTATTGCAAATATCTTGGATGAACTGCAGCATTAGTCATGCCCGTCTAGTGCTGAATAATCATCAAGGGCTGCTATCAAACAAAGTTTCAGGGGCTTTAGACCTTGCGTTTTGTAGCATATCAGAAAATCAGCTAAGTGGAGTCGAGATATACGAGGGCATGGCTTCTGTAAGCATTTACTCTTCGTATATACTACAGAATTCGAATCATGGGCTTAAGCTAAGGAACGAAGGTGGCGAACACCGAATTATCGATTCCTTCATTGAGAAAAACAGACAACATGGCATCTGCATGCACGAATTCCAGTCCTCGAGCAGCAACCCTGTTCCTCAATTGACCGGAATAAATATACAAGGAACTAAGGTTTCCGATAATTTGTACCACGGAGTATATCTTTCTCCTGCTTGTCAGCATATCGAGAGCTCAACGGAAAATGTGTCCATCGTAATAGAAGAGAGTAGCATCAGTAACAATTCACGCGGAGGCTTGCGCTTTAAACAAGAAAGCTGCAGCCGTGGTTCACGTTACAAGCAGGTATCACTCATGATGTCACACAATGAGTTTCGAGAGAACAAGAACCAAGCACTCTACGCTTCATGTATTTCACTTTATAGACTTAAAGCCGAAATACGGAACAACTCTTTTTATAACAATTCTRGCCAAATAATTGTTATTACCGATCAAACCTCTTATGAATGCAAGCCGAAAAGTGTCAGCAATCCTGTCGAAGTCAGCATAAGTCAGAACCAGTTTTTTGGCAATCGTGGTTCAAATCTTGTKTACATAGATTTMATGGGGTTYCCTTTGATTCGAAAGGCCAGCGTCGATAATAATACCTTTCAAAACAACAGCGTGAAGTTTTTGTTTCCAAACTTGTACCAAAGTTCTACCGACAGAGCTTTGGTTGTTTTTTAAGGAGGGAACTTTTACATTCCACAACAATTCATTGGACGCAAATGACTGTCGTTATTTGTTGTCTACATTGTACGTCAATCATAGCAGTGTTGTTGATGCCAGATTTAATTGGTGGGACACGAAAGACGAATGTGAGATAAAAGACAAAATATCTGATTTTTACGATCGTATTCAACTTGCTAAAGTCAGATACTTTCCTTACTTCCGTTCCTCAAGAATCATTGACCTGGAAATTGAACGTCTACCGCACATAAGGTGTTTTCTTCAAGACAACACTATAGGCGGTGCCTTGGATGGAGAGCTATCTTTGCCTCGTAGCCAAATGCCATATAAGGTGCGGGATGACATTGTTATCTTGGAGAATGGCAGTCTTCGGATACCCAGTAACACGACTTTAATGTTTCCTGCTCGTTCTGGTATGTTGGTACAAGGTGAACTCCATGTCATGGGCAAGAACCAAGAAAAGGTCAACTTTATAAAGAACATAATACAAGAAAATATACGTCTTTCTGGTGGACAAGGACCTTGGGAAGGTGTACTAGAATTCTACACTAACAACACTTGGATCCCAGTATGCGACAACATGCTTCCACTGGAAGTAAAGGTCGTTTGCCGGCATCTCGGTTTTATAGAACGTTTTACTAGTTATAGGTACATATCCCCAAAACCAACAGACCAATTCGTTTTTGGCATCAAATGTCTCGACCCCGACAAAGATGACATTATTCAGTGTAGCAATAAAAACTGGACCTTTGGGAAGAACTGTTACAGAGTTCCACTTATGTACTGTCTCAGGGACTACTGGGCCGGCGTTCATCTTGCGATTAGCAATAAAAAAAGTGACCTTCATCATCTGAACATTTACGATGCTGGATTCAATTACAGAAGTGACATTAGTCTTCCAGGTTATGCCTTAAGAATCGACTTCGATCATCATAACTTGAGTAACATCAACATCAATTCTTCTTCGGGCATCGGCGTCCAAGTCTTATTTCCAAGTCCATTCTTGAAGAAGTCCTTCATGCCAAATTCTAAGATTTCTCACACTGCATCCACTGGCATTATGCTTGGATCACCATACTTAAAGCTCACGGACGTGGAGGTGGAATCGACTGGGGCAGCAGGTTTTCAATTACAGAGCCAGTGGGACGCTTCTACTACTCATGCGATTCAAACCATGAATCCAAGTGTAAAGAAAATCGCTATTTGTTCTCAAAATATCACTTACTTGAAAGAAGACGACATTGTGTACCTCTACTCAAATTTACCCTACGAATCAGATGTAACATGCCAACATCTATTTGTAACAGAGCGAGGCCGTAGACTTGGAATCCAAGTCCTTTATTCGCAGCTACACTACAGCCACCTCCATGTCTTTGATGGAAACAATATCACGGGCAGAGATGGATGGAAGATAGAAACATTTAATATTAAAGATCGAAAAGTGTTCAACTCTTCAAATAACGAAACCCTTCTGAAAATCGAAAAGTACTATTACAGCACAGTATCGTTCCACTTGCTCCTTTTTYCTATTGAAGGTATGACTGCATTATTTTTACAGTTTTCCAAACTCTTCCACTAAAAATCTTAGAGTGCCCCTCATTCCTAACTCTATATTTTCAGTATTGATTCTACTGAAGTGTATAGCTGAATGGTAAAATATTTTTATATGATTTGAATGATGCATCTTGGAGATCAAAGTTTATTCTTCCAATGTTAATGAGGGTGATGTCATACTGCTAAGTTTAGATTGTTGTCATTTGTAAATTGAAACAGTTCCCTGAGCCATCTTGAAAGGTAGCCTTGCCTTTGCATCGAAGCTGGAGGAACGGTCGCAGCTTGCAATGACAGAGACCTTTTTTGACATCTTGGACAATTATTCAAGTCTCTATCATTGCAAGCTGCGACCGTTTCGATGCAAAGGCACGGCTACCTTTCAAGATGCCGCAGGGATCTGTGAAGGGGACTATTGAACATTGTTTTTTATTTGTTTATTACAGATGAAAAGCCATTTGAAAGCTTCATTGAGATCGAAAATTCGAATTTCAACTTGATAAGAGGCATGAATATTGAAGGCAACGTCATCAGTCACCTCAAAATCATAAATTGCAGTATGTCCAACTCAAGCTACTATCTCAAAATTTATGCAAAAGAAATAACCACGGGAACAATGCAATCCATCACACTGGAGACCAACTGGTACGGCATCTACCTGACATACACCTCGGGAAACTTTGGCATTTATGATTCACGTATCACAAGCAATACCGACGGACTTTATTTACATTCTTATTCAGCCTATGACAATAAAATGGTTTTCAATTTGTTCAACTGCAGCATTACTCATAATTATCGTGGATTCTTTATCTACGGTGAATTTTCAAGAACAATTATTGCTGTGCAAAACAGCACTTTTGCGTTTAACAGAGCGTCTGCGATATCTTCCGAAATCTATCACGCACAACAAAATGTGTCCTTCATTTTTAAATGGAATTCATTTAAACAAAACCATGGCTCGACCATGTCGATATATCTTTGCCGTTCAATTGTCACAGAGTGTAGTATAAATATAACCGAAAACAGTTTTGAAAATAACGTTGGATATGTCATACACGCTAGATCTTGTAGGTATTGGAATCGGAATGATAATAATATGGTTCTTATGAAAAGAAACRTATTCAGTGCTAATCAGTGTAGGAGAGGAGCGGTTATATCTATCTACGAACAGATGTACAGTCTGGAAGCTTCGCATAATGTTTTTCAATTTAACCAAGGCGTTATCTTGATGTACCACCTTTACCATTCTGGGCCATTAAAAATGTTTTTCAACATTTTTAAAARCAATAACTGTACTGGGAGATCAATAATAGAAATTCAAAGAATCGAATCTTACACTGAACTTGTTTTGAATGAAAACATTTTCGAAAGAAATACTGGTGTGGCGGTTCTATCGACGGGTACAAGCGGTTATTGCAGTAGTTCGTTACAACTAAGAGGAAATGCATTCAGATACAATCTGTGCATTGAGAAGTCCGTGTTGTCTATCAGTAACCAAAGGAATGCTTTTGAAGCATCAGGAAACGATTTTCATTCTAACTTGGGGTCGACTTTAGTATTCGAAGGAGCATCCATTATGGCTAACCTTCTCTTTGCTGATAATTCCATAGAAAACAATACTTGTATCTCAAGAGAGATGGTTTCCATCTTCAGAATGGAAGGAAACATTGATGTAAGCAACAACACATTTCAYCGCAACAAAGCCATTGGTATAATGTCGGTACAGTCATTGCATAACGTTGAATTCCAGCAAAGTAACAAATCATTTTCAATCATTAATAACACGTTTAAAGAAAACCAAGTTGCTGCTGACGCCCYTTCACGTGTATACTTCAGAARCAACTGTGCCCTGAAATTACGTGGCCTTCTTTATTACAAGATAACTGAATTTTTCCATAACAAATTGACAAATCCCTCCTTTGAAAWGGAATTTTGTCTCCACATTCAAGCTCTTTCRCAAAAGGATATTTTCAATGCCAGCCATAACTGGTGGGGAACTGTAGACAATTACCATTTAAGGCAAAGAATTTTCGACTTTGATGATAACCACGACTACGCGATTGCTTCGACTTCACCTTTYCTAACAAGTTACAATGATAACAAAACAGTTATGATTGGCAATAAAGTAAGAGCTCTAAGGGGAAACAAACTTGGGGGTCGTGTAGATGAGTCACTTTATCTCACAGAGGAAGCAGGCCCTTATAAAGTTACTTCGGACTTAACTATTCTTCCTGGTGTGGTCCTCACAATAGAACCAAATGTGTCGTTAAGATTTTCTCCAGGTGTTAGTCTACTTGTTATAGGAACACTTATTGCTCGTGGAACAAAGGAAAGGAAAATCAAATTCACTCTAGACAACCCAAAAGGAAGTCAAAGTGTTCGCTTGAAAGATGGACATTTTCCTTGGGAAGGTCGTTTAGAGGTGTACCACGAAAACAAATGGATGCCTGTGTGCTGTCCAGACAGTACGTGGAATCTCGCAAATACAAAAGTAATCTGCAGAGAGCTTGGATACTTGCCGCATCAGGATGCACATTATACTAAGTTTGATTTTGGACCAAGTAAGCCGTGGCCGTTCAAGATACACTGTCATGGCAACGAGACATCATTGAGCAAGTGCGAAGCAAAGGACCATTCTTATGCTTCTAATACGTCAAAATTTGTCGGATTGAACTGTAAAGGCCAGCCATGGGGAAATATAAGGTTTGTTGAATCAAATGAAAATGGTACTGTCAAGGAGAGCTCCGTACTGGAACATGTTGAAATAAGTTACTGTGGCCGGCACTTCAATTCCAATGCATCTGCGATTGAAAGCGTTATACGAAACCCCAAAATAAACTTTGTCACTATTCAAAACTGTGCTTTTCAAGGCGTCAGTTATTTTTTAGCAGGGAACAATRTCAATGYTACCAAATGTGAWCTGAAGCATCTYCAAGGAAAYGGTTTTAACGTCATTCAATCCAGCTTTGAYGTTACTATAAAAGACAGCACTATYGAAAACACTGTTAATGGGGTTGTTMTGGAWTCTCCTCAACAACATAATATCCCTTTASTTCAATACGGAAGAACATCGATTTGTGATCCCAGCATAAAAACGTTTGACGTGAAAAATAAARGCATTGTATTCTTCGAGYTGAACGACATCGACACTGAGAAATTATCTACAATACCATATGTATATTGCCAAAAAGATTTCAGAGCTGAAACAGAAGGAAAGGGAGTTCGCATACGACTTCTTTTTCACCAAGGTTTACSAACAATAAATATYTATGACAAAAGGAGGACGCATACATTTCAATACAATTATCCGGAATATTTACTGAAAACCATCTTGCACAAGGATCTTATTTTTCCTGAGATAGGAAATATTCAAATGAAAGGTAACCTCAAATCAAGAGTCATGTTTGAAGTGGACGTTGTGGATATTCACTCTTCAGGTAATTTACGTAGTGAAATAGCGATATTGTGTGTAAAACTATTTGCCAACACACACGCTTGGAATATTGTTTCTTCACTGCTTTTGAATAGTCTCTTAGAGACCCTTTTTTAAACACCCTTGACATTTATTCCCATGTCTCTATCATTGCAAGCTCGCCTTCCGTCTCGGTTCGTTGCAAAGACACGGCTACCTTTAAACTGAACTGTGAAAGGGACTATTAACTATTTTTATCTAATTAAAGATTGGATTTGCACACCTTAAATATTTTCATCTTTTAATTTAATTTTTTTTTGTTTGCTATAAAAGCTTTATCCAATTTTATAATAAGTACACCGTGTGAAGATATAGTGTACAGGGGTTAGCTGAAATTAAAACTTTATAACTTTGTTTCAGATATACCTTGCAATTTSCAATACGGAATGTGTGGTTGGCAGTCGTTTAGTAACATGACTATCAACGGTATCAACATGACAAAAACATGGGAAGCAAAACAAGAATACTATACTTACAATGGATACTACAACTATCCGCAACGTGATAACTCTTTTAACTCTGACCAGGGTAAGTACTTACAAAAGAAAACATTAGACTAACAGACCAACACAGTTATAACATCGTACCATTTATGCTGAATTTTAACCAATTTTTATATTCAGGTTATGTCGTAGGAATTGGCCAGCGCCAATGGGGTTATCACTYGCCAGGCAATGCATCACTTGTCAGCCCTCTACTAACCTCTCAATCACAGTTTTGCAAATTGGTTTTTTATTATAAATTTCGAAGAAGTGGAAGATCKTCTTTTAACGTATTTCTACAAAAAGGAAACGATATCTTTGACAGCTCTTCAGAGCTTATTTTCTTGTGGACGCCAAAGACGACCGAAGTTCTTCAATGGACAAAAGCTGTACTTGAACTACCCAAGGACTACTTGGAGTATCGAATAATCTTTATTGGATCATACACAGCAGCTACTAATAGATACACCAGAAATTTTTTCATTCTTGATGATATTCAGATTCAAAAMTGTGCAACTGGTGAGTAAAGTCTCCTAAAGAATATGGCGCCACTGAATATGCATAATTCATTTTACTGCTCGAGGTTGATGACACTAGTATGTAGAAATCAAAGTTTGCTGGTATGTGCTCTAGAGGTAAACTTGATATAGCTATTTCAAGAAAGGTTGATAAAGTTTTTGTTGAATTTTGCATACCAAGCCCAAAATGCACTATGGGCGATGCGAAGGTCACTTCCACATAAACAATATGATATTTTCCTGAAATCTTTGTCTACACGTTTTTCCTGCATACATTTTTGTTGTGCTGTCTTTATTTGTTCAATTATAATTATTTAATACCTTTCAAGCTTAGTAAGCAAGATGCAAGATGCAGGATGCAACATGGATTGAACAAACCTTTTTTGAAATAGCTGTATATTCTAAAAAAAGAATGCCACATTACAAAATAATGAGCTTATTCCTGAACCAAGGAACTGATCACACCTTTTGCCACACACACACACACAGCGGTGATCATGACCGGCAATTGTGGTCCTCGCTTCTATAGCCAGGGCACCTTTCTTTTAAACTTTAAATAACACAATTTCTGTACTATAATAAAGACTTAAGTATGTTGATGACTTTTAAAATGTGGCACTTTGCTGAAAAAAAGTCTAAATTAGTCATACTTTTTAAAGGAGATTTCCCTACAAATACAGTCAACTCTTGTTACGGCAGACACCCTCAAGACCGTCACTTGATGTCCTTAATGCGAGGCTTTCGCAAAAGCAAGGTGTTTGAATTAAATGTCGGGACAAATATCTGCAAGCGAGAGTTAACTGTATGTTTATTTTACTTGATGTTTATTATATAATAATACTTTCCGTGAATTTGTTTTTCGTTCTCGTTTAGGAAAAGATGAATTGGAGAATAACGTTATCCGAAACAGTGACATACATGGCGTGATGTACAAGTCATCTTCAAGGAATCACTTATCTATGAAAAGAAATGCATTTATCGAGAATGGGAATTCAAAGACTGCAAAACATYCCGTCTATTCGGGTGTTGTGTTTGCAGAGATAAAGGACAAAGATTTTCTTTTTACAAACAATCATGTCGCTGGTAACGCTATCGGTGGTTTACGYGTGCAGACAGAAAACAGTGAAGGTAATTTYWTCGAAGGAMGAAAATTAAAGAAAAGTTGGGTTTATGGAAACACGTTTGTACAGAACGGTAAGGAAGCCTTATATCTCGTGTCCAACAAAGGGACTCCTCATGTAGTGTACATCAAGGAAAATTCCTTTTCCAGTAATTATGGMAAAGGCTYTGYTTWTAACAGCAARAACAGTGTTGTYAAAATTAAGGACGTACCCACAAAAATAGAAGATAACTTCTTTTTCAACAATTCTGGCCTTTTGATCATGGAGTACGAATTCTTGAACGACAAATATGAAGGACAGCACTGTATAAACAATACATTTTTCTTRAACACTGGMACTGCATCAGAATATGRTGCAACTATCCGGACYAATGGACCAATTCAGTATCATGGTAATAGCCTGAAGAATCCCCACAACCTTTATGAGATTGATACAACTATTTCTGCCGTCACGGATCCCGTAAATGCTACAATGAATTGGTTTGGATTTGGCACAATACCAACTGTTAAACCAAGACTACGTGACCACGGCAACRACAACCGTTTACCAAAGATTCTTTTTGAGCCATTTGTTAAGATACAACCAAGAAATATCCTCTCTCGTGAGTATGAAACGTGTAATGAAGGCTGTTGAACACAGCCAAAATGTTAAAGACATAGTTAAGTCACAGCCAAATATATATATTATAGATTACAGATTCTCAGTATAAAGATGATGTTAGCACARCATTCTTGAGTTCTTCACTGTTGTGAGTTGTCAAGGTTGTTCAAAAACCTGAACATTTAGGCCCAACAAAATATCGTTAAAAATCTTTACCTGTGCGCCATGTTACATGAAAACCATTTTTTCAAGCAGCATTGTACGCGAAAAGTCATCGTTGAAAATCGTCTAGTGCAACGATACCTTAAGCTAGTGTTAAATGTTGTTGCTTATCTTATTTTCTAGTGGGGTGTCCTCCTGACTGGATGAACATGGGTCCAGCTTGTTATGTCTTTCGTGCTGGAGTCCAGTCCTTCCAGGATGCAGACAAATATTGTAAGGTACATGCAAGGCTTTAAAACGTTCTGGTTAGTTTGCTGGAATTTGGCCATCGGGGATCGCGATTATTGGTGACACCATTTTCTCTTAGTTCGGATAATAATCTAAAGACATTTTAGTCGCCTGGAAGGCCAAAAAAGGTCCAAYAAACAACAACATTAATTTTAAATGACCTATCGTTCTTATTTGATAAACGTGTATTATTATTTGTTAACTTTAAGTTTTGAATTATTTTCACAGTATTACGGAGGACATATACTTGTATCGAGCTCTCCAGGTGASAAAGAATTGTTAATCAAAATCATGGCTATGATTAAACCTGGCACTTATGACCAGCCGCCACCGATACCATTATGGATTATTAGCAATGACATTMAGGAAAAGGTAATTAAACTATTTTATATYATTATTAGCAAGTAGTACAAAAATMAAATAAATATAAACGTATTCGTTATCTAATTGTTTTAAATTATTTGATCAATATGAAGTATATAGGAATTTAGATGTTGATCATGATGACATGACGTTAATGATGTTGTTGCCGTTGCTTTTGTCGTTGTTTTATTTTATTTCATTTTATTTTATTTCATTTTATTTTATTTTATTTGTCGCTATTTCTACTTCAGGACGACCGATGTCAAGTTTTGAGTCACGAAGGAAATATTACGGAGGTGTCTTGCAAGAGCCATTACTCTTTTGCTTGTAGCAGAAGCGAAGGTAAAGTCAAAATAGCCTCTCGGCTTTTAAGATTATACAATCTGTTATTGCATTCAGACGAACAAAGAGTTTACAGCGGCCATGTTGGTGTACCAAAACAATACCTTTTCTATCCTCCGGTAGTTAAACTCTATTTTTATGCAAAAACTGTGCAGAAAGTTTCGATTGTATGGTTGCCTTGTCACGTGAGTGAAAGCGCTCTATGACATTTTTGTCCTTACGCATTCTTTTAGTGATTCGTTGTCCAAATGGGTGCTTATATAATGGTGATTGCATCGGATCCACGTGCTTTTGCTATCGAGGATGGACAGGACAAGACTGTTCCAAGCCCTCCTGTCGAGACGTTCATAACTGTTCTGGCGTCGGTGAATGCGTGGGACCCAACGTTTGCAAGTGCAAGTGGTCATTCCGAGGACGTGCATGTACTTACTCGTATTGCTCAAAATTCAAAAATTGTTCAACTTGCGTCACTGATCCTTACTGTGGTTGGTGTGATAAAATGCGACAGTGTATCCCAGGTGACTATTCCAGCCCCTATAAGAAGTCTTGCTCAGACTGGTTCTACTATCACTGCTACACAGTAGGTTCTGAAAGCCATTGTTCCGACAACATTGGGGTACGTATTCATCGAATTTTAATAATCTAGAAGCAATTAAAGCCTATCTAAATCCTGCCTGGAATTTCGGATGTTTTTATATAGCCTGGTCAGATTAGATAGCCTGACCAACATTATTGAATGTATCTTCGTTCATCTGTTGAAGTATATGTGTGTGTGGAACTACTTACGAACTAGTCGGGAAGTGGAAATCAGATCGGACACGTTATTCATCTTAAAAGGAGAAATGCTGTTTGGATTATTTATTTCGATTTTGATATGTCTTTTTCTGTTCTTTTCTTAATTTTAGCAAGTCGATTGTCAGCATAAACAGTGTAACTTTGRAAGACCTTCATCTAACATGGAAACATGYGCAAAATGTAGAGATCTTGAGAAATGTTACAACATCGAGGTAAATATCATTATCRACATTTTCTTTCGGTRACATACATWTTTTCATAAAATGCGATGCGTACGAATCGTCTTCTCTTATTTTCTGCTTAAAAACGCAACAATCTAGGAAGCCGGGAAGTGTCGTGCATGGAATGTCAGCCGCTGTCCACATGGAATGCTGCAGGTCGACTACTCAGACAAAAGCAGGGTCAACAATACSCAGCTGCGCAGTAATGTCAAGGTTATTGACCCAAATAGGCATACAATATACRGTTGTCCAGTACTCTTACCTGGTAAAGACGAGGTTACTTCAGTCTTCGTTGTGCCAAAGGAACTGGGTATTGAGGTTGGTCACGTGATGACGAGTACACAGGCTGGTGGAATAATGCATAAAGTGAATGAGACAAATCAAATAGGTAAAGAAAATATTCAGTGTCAAAAACCATTTGTAGTAGCGCATCCCTCGACCTTTCACCATAACCATATGCACCAACACCACCAATGTACCTTCCTACCTATCACAACTTCCACCACCACCCCCATCATCACCATTAAAACCATCACCAATTCCACCACCAACAGCACTAAAACCACCATCTATCCCCCCAACACTATCACCATCATCACCATCATCATCATCACCACCACCATCACCACAAACAATAACAAAAACTTAACTCTCGAACAAATATGAATGTTCCAAGTAAGCCTCACAGCGAATGCAACTGAAAGGGTTCCGATCTGCAATGACATTCTAACCATGTTTCCAGGATTTAATCGACTTGATGACATGATGACATGCATTGCAATTGAAAATTCTTAGGTCCGTACACGCTTGTTTCTCGTGAGGAGGCGGAATTAGAAGATGTTATAGAATATGCKGATTTCGAGGAAAAGGTTCAACCTGAGCCAATCACAGATGAAGTGACAGAAGAGGAAGAACCAAACAAAGAGCAAATCGATGGGATGTTTAATGGAAGTATCCTCTTAAATAACACAGCTATGCATCTGATACAGGGTAATTTTAGTGAATTCCATGCATAGTGATTTTGCCTTTCGTTTTCATTTTTAAGGATGTAGTTCTGTGGAGGCAGTAAAACGTTGGGCTTATTTGTGATACTCCAATTAACTCCTATTGTTGATATTCTTTCTTCAACATTACAATCTCCGAAATCAGCCTAGTGTTGACCTTAAACTTAGCTCTGACTACGTTTCTTTAGCTTCTTAGGGGTCCATAAATCAGATATTATAATATAAACTAGACATAGATATATGAAGGAGAAAAAAAATTACAAAGGCATTTGTTGTCTTTTTGGCTGCCCTTCGAAAGTGTTCATAAATGTTTTTTGAGGGAGATGAAAATATTTTTAGAAATTCGGTTAGACAGTAAACTAAAGCAGGAACGTCTTAYTTYCTAGGMAAATATATCTACAAGTGCGTTGGCCATTTATACCAGATCGGATCAAAATCTGTCGTGTCTCATTACTTGGTRATGGAAGCAGCAAGCTCTATCAAYGCAAGCCAAGGAGACGTGATAGTAGCACGAGAAAGTCATGGGTTTATAGAAAGAGTTACCAATATTCGYAAGACGGAAAGTTTAACGTTCATTCACACGATGCTGGAACGATGTGATGGGAAATCGACGTGGACCAAAAAGTAAGTTCATGAAGTAATTTTGTAACATACAAGGGAAACTTTTGGTACCGATCCAAAACCTTTATAAGGTGCATAATGCCATATAA